TGGTTTGGGGCAAAACCAGCCCAAAACGAACCGTGAGTTCCCTTAACAAACCTGGAGGTTCTTTTAGGACTGCCTATTTCACTTCATGGCCACTTGGGTAAGTCAAACTGGTGACCCGTTTTATGACCATCACAAATGATGACCTTGATGGGCAGATTCCATTGTGGTCATAAGTTGAGGACTCTTTGTATTTCCCTTTGAAAGGGAGGCAGGTGGTGAGCTGCAAAGAACTGTGCTGTTGCTGCTTGTATCATAAAGAGCAGCATGGCTGTTTCTTTTATCATGTGGTGTCCTCTTTCTGAATGAAAGGTTCTGGACCTTTAGCTTGGTCATCTTTAGAAACATAATCCTGAGAGAACAATTCGCAATGTGGGGGGTGGTGGTGTTGTTTGAATGTGCAAAGACTAAAACTTTTGGAATTCCTAACTGTTGCCACAGTGGATAGAAATTCTGGGATGCGTAACTCTTGAAACATCTGGGAGAACTTGACGTTGGCCAAGGTTGTGTCACAACTTGTCCCACCTTCTGTCTTGAATCTTAATTTTAGCAAGCCAGACTTGGCTTAGAAGTTGGTGCATTTATTTTTCTCGCATGCGTGTGCCTTTCTACCTGGCACACTATCTATTGTTTAATCTTCTGGCATTGGGACTCCGGCTAAGTACAACATGTAGAGCAGAGGTCTTCAAACTTGGCAACTTGAAGACTTTGCTGGCTGAGGAATTCTGGGAGTTGAAGTCCACAAGTCTTAAGTTGCCAAGTTTGAAGACCCCTGATGTAGTGTACGCCCTCTCTTTGCCTCTACAAGGAGCATCATTTTTCCGTCTCTGTCATTTGCGGCCTCAATTAGGCAACCTCACATTTGTCTCATGCTTCTCTGTCTTCTCCAAGGTGCTGGACAAGATGAAGCAGCTCATTGAAGCTTATCCCAACCAGCCTCTGGTCATTCTGGAAATGGAGAATGGTGCTTCTGCTAAGGTACTTCTTTTCTCGGCACAATTGTGAGGTTGTGGTGGCACCGTGGTTAGAATGGAGTATTGCAGGCTAACTCTGCTGACTGCCAGCAGTTGGATCCTGACCAGCTCAAGGTTGACCCAGCCTTGTATCCTTCCCAGGGTTGGTAAAATGAGGACCCACATTGTTGAGGGCAGTGCGCTCTGTACACCGCTTGGAGAGGGCTCTAAAGCACTACGAAGCGGTATATAAGTCTAAGTGCTAGTGCTGTTGTGGAATGGGCAGCGGTGCAAAGAGAGATACGGCCGATGGGGTCGCAAAGAGTCGGACGTGACTTAGCAGCTGAACAACAACAAAGCACGGAGAGAAGGTTGCACGTTTAATCCCCATCTAGAGGACAAGAGTGTGGCTGCACGCACACTTGCGTCTTCTTGGCATGAAATGATCCCTTCAGCCTGATTGCCAAATGATGGTGGTTTTTTTTCAGTTCTTTCCTGGTCTACCTTCAAATGCCAGTTCACAGCACACTCTTTCTCTACAGGCCTTGAATGAATCCCTGAAGCTCTTGAAGACACTTTCTCCCGAGACAGCAGCGATGCTTTTCAGCGTGGATAACGAAGCAGGCAAAATCACCTGCTTATGCCAAGTTCCTCAGGTAAGCCAGGTTGGCAGCCCCTCTGAGACCGTGGGTACCAACTGGCCAGAGAGAAATAATATGGATAATTCAAGAAGTAGGAGTTCCATTCTTTTTCTTCTTAAGTTATAGATCTAGAGCAGGGGTAGGCAACCTTTTATGACTCATGGACTTCCACTCCCAGAATTCCTGAGCCAGCCTAGCTCAGCTTGGAAATCTCTCCCTTTCCCCTCAGCGTGGCTGGCTCAGGAATTCTGGGAGTTGAAGTCCACCAGTCATAAAAGAGCCAAGGTTGCCTACCTCTGCCCAAATGCCTGAATTTTGATCACGTGACTGTGAGGAAAAATATTTAAACCAGGGGTCTTCAAACTTGGCTCTTTTATGACTCGTGGACTTCAACTCCCAGAATTCCTGAGCCAACATGGCTCAGCTTGGAAACCTCTCCCTTTCCCCTCAGCATGGCTGGCTCAGGAGTTCTGGGAGTTGAAGTCCACCAGTCATAAAAGAGCCAAGGTTGCCGACCCCTGATCTAGAGCAACGATGAAAAAGCCTATGAGATTTCCCCAGACATGACTCGAATCGTAACTCCCAATAGCCTCAGCCTATACGGCCCTTGGTGAAGGATGCTGAGAATTGCATCTGACTTTCCTTTAGCGTGGTTTGTTTCATTGCAGACTTGCAAATGTTCTGTCTTTCAGGAAGTGGTGGTGGAGCTCCTGGTGCTCTCTGAGCTTGGTTGTTACTCTTGCAGACATTTCGTCTCCAAACATATTTGATAGTAGAACGTCTGCAAGGAAACAACCAAGCTCAGAGAGCAACAAGGGGCCTCACCGTTCAATCCGGAGCTAAAAAAAATTCCCTTCTGTCGCTTTCAGGAAGTTGCCAGCCAAGGGCTGAAGGCCAGCGAGTGGGTGCAGCAGGTCACCGTCCTGATGGATGGCAAGGGAGGAGGGAAAGACCTCTCGGCCCAGGCTACGGGCAAAAACACAGATTGCCTCGAGGAAGCGCTGCAAGTGGCCACCGAGTTTGCCAAGCTGAAGCTCTGCGAGCTGAAGAACTGAACCCCAGCGGGGATCAAAGGCAGGAAGGCTGATCCTTGCCTGTAGGCCAATAGCTTAGACGTTCCTTTTCGCGCTCTCGGTGGAGGACTAGACCCCAGGTGGTTATCCTACATCCATCTGGCACAAACCCCAGAGAGGTGGTTGGAAAAGTCAATTATCTGGCTATGAGGCCAGAGCTGTGTCACTTTGGGCTCCATCTCCTGGGAGTAGCCATGCCATCTCAGGACACCTGCTGCTAAGGAACTGGCCTTCCTTTTACACCCTCCAGTTGTCACATCAGTGTATCCTTCATTGCAATGCCACTGTGCAGATTAAAGGGAATTCTGCCGTTTGCTTCTCATCTGTGATTAATGTTCGGGGGTATTGTAACGTGAGTATACGCAGGGATGAACCTGACCTGCCCTCATCACATTTCTTCTTTCTAACTGTGAAAACCTCCCTTCCCTCATTGTTTTAACCTCCCTTAGAACAAGCCTGCCCTACCAGTGGGGGGGTCAGATAGGGCCAGTGCTGAATAAAACAAGCAGACTCTGTATATCGCACAATGGAAATAACAAGTGTGTCATTTTACTGGTTCAGCACGTTGCATGCAGGCAGGAACAGAGCGCAAGCTTTGGATTTACACAATCCACTCTCCTTTATCTTCTTTGTAGAAAACATTTGGACAAGGAAGCCAGCTGTGGTTAAGGATGATGGGCTTGTTGAAATTGTAACTCAAGCTGATAAGAGGCTTGCCGAAATTATCTCGATGACCTATGTCAAGCAATGAAAGATTTGACTGTATTTCAGGGAGATTTTGGGGTGGGTTTTTTTTTTTTAAATAAAACACAGCTGGCCATCTTAACTCCTGTCTGGGCTGAACAACAGCCGTATTCCAAGTATTTTGAGAATCACCTGCAATTCCTTGAAGCAAGAACTTACCAGAACCAATTCAGAAAGCGTTGCCTTCATGCCAAGACCCGGAATTTGTTAGAATATTTTGATGTTGTGGTCTCTGCAATCACTAGCAAAATGTTTTCTTCTACCCATCCAAATAAAATGGCTTAACAAGAAGGTATTTGTCTCTTAACAGTGATTTGTTGAACACTGCTGAAATATTTTTCTGAATAAAGAAAAACAAAGCCAATTGGTTAATTCTGGAGGTTGTTGTCCTGCAGGCCATTGAGTCATTTTTTACTCAGCAGATTTTGTCCTCAATTTGTTCTTTCAAGTCTTACATCATCATAATTGACTGCTGATTCTTTAATTGTCCTGTTCCATCTTTCCTAGAATTAAAAACCCTTTCCAGAGAGCTTGGTTTTTGCTTAATGTGTCCAAAGAAGGACAATTTGAGCCCCATCATCTGTACCCTGAGAATTCTGGGTTGATTTTGTCAATAGGCTTTGTTTTCTTTACATTTTACAAGACTGCTACTCTGGGGAGTCTTCTCCTACTCCGAAGTTCAGAGGCAGCTATCCTCTTCCTATCCTACTTCAAAGTCCAACTTTTCTTTCCCTGGAGTGTCCCAGGGCATTCTAGGTTTGCACGAATCCGACGCAACACAAGCGGGGAGGTTTATGTAGGTAGTCCTTGACTTAACAACCACAACTGAGCCCAAAGTTTATGTTGCTAAGTGAAACAGTTTTTAAGTGAGTTTTCCTCCATTTTACGACCTTCCCCCCTCCCCCCCGTTGTCAATTGAATCACTGCAATTGTTAGTAACACGGTTGTGAAGAGCCGAGGTGGCGCAGCAGTTAGAGTGCAGTACTGCAAGCCACTTTAGCTGACTGTGTTCAGCAGGTCAGCGGTTCAAATCTCACCGGCTCAAGGTTGACTCAGCTTCCATCCTTCCGGGGTAGGTAAAATGAGGACCCAGATTGTTGGGGGCAATGTAAATATATATATATACATTGCTTACTGGTGTACACCGCTTAGAGAGTGCTTGCACTTAAAGCGGTATATAAGTCTCATAAATAAATAAATAAATCTGGCTTTCCCATTGAGTTTGCTTGTCAAAAAGTCGAAAAGGTGATTGCATAAAATCCAGGACACACTTCATAAATATGAACCAGTTGCCAAGCATCTCAGTTTTCATTAGGTGATCACTTGGATGCTGCAACGGTCATCAGTGTGGAAAGCGGTCCTAAGTCACTTTTTTTCCAGTGCCGTTGGAACTTCGAACCGTCACTAAATGAACTGTTGTAAATCGAGGACTACCTGGAGGGAGCCCCAGCAACTGACAGTGGCACTGCAGCCCCCCGCAATCCCAGCCGTGCGCAAAAGCGCTCTAGCGGTCGAAACGCTCCAGCCGGGCGCCAGGATCCACCTCCTCCTCCCGCCGCCGCCCAGAAGCAGCGGCCACCGCGGAGAGCCGAAGCCGGCAGGGGGAGCTGCCGGGAGCGCCTGGCGGCCGCCGCCTTCCGCCCTTCCCCTTCCGGAGCCAGGCGCGCCAAAGCCGGGGCCATGCCGCTGGATCACCGGCGAGTGCCGGGCCCGGAAGAGTCGCAGTCGCCGCTGCTCTACGTGCCGGCCGGCCAGAGGGAGAGCGGCGAGGCGGCGGCCAGCCGGGACCTGTCGGCGCTGCAGCCGCTCTTCGCCCGCGTGGGGCTGCTGAGCCAAGCCAAAGGCTCGGCCTACGTGGAGCTGGACGGCGGCACCAAGGTACTCTGCTCCGTGGCCGGGCCCCGCGAGGCGGGCGGCGGCGGCGGAGGAGCGAGCGGCCCCGGCGAGCCGCGCGGCCGGCTGGTGTGCGAGTTCCGCCGGGCGCCTTTCTCCGGGCGCGGCGCCCGCGGCCGGCCGGGCGCGGCGGAGCCGGAGCTGGGCCTGGCGCTGCAGGAGGCGTTGGAGCCGGCCGTGCGCCTGGCGCGCTACCCGCGGGCGCAGCTGGAGGTGAGCGCGCTGCTCCTGCAGGACGGCGGCTCCGCCTTGGCCGCCGCCCTGTGCGCCGCCGGGCTGGCGCTGGCCGACGCGGGCATCGAGCTCTACGACCTGGTGGCGGCTTGCGCGCTCAGCCGGGCGGCCGGGCCGTCGGGGCCCGAGTGGCGGCTGCAGCCCAGCGAGGCCGAGGAGCGCGCCGCCGCCGCCCGGCTCACCGTGGCGCTCCTGCCTTCCCTCAACCAGGTGGCCGGCTTGCTGGGCAGCGGCGACGGCGGGCCGGCCGACAGCTGGGCGCAAGCGCTCCGCCTGGGCCTCGACGGCTGCCAGCGCCTTTACCCGCTGCTGCGCCAGAGCCTCCTGCGGGCGGCCAAGCGGCGGCAGGAGCCCGCGGACATGGACACGGCCGAGCCCCCCGCGGGAACGGCCTGAAGTCGCCCTCGGGGCTTTGGCGCAGGAGCTTGCGAGCCGGAGAACCGGGAGACGGGGCGCAAGCGGGAGCGCGTCGTAGGAAGCAGATGAAGGCCAGACGGATGCGGAGCGAGAAGAGACCTGCTTGATCCACCTAGAACTTAATCTGGAAACTTTCTGGGGGCCCCCCAGCCCCCCACTTTGAGAAGGGGGTGAACTTTGCCACAGCGTCTCCCCCAAGAAAGCACCCTGAGCTGTGGCTGTTTGACTCCTAACTTTGCACCGTTGACTTTTTTTTTTTTGTTGGATAACTGAAGGCTTCTCTTGAACTTAACAATTGTTTCCCCTCTCTTAATGCTGAAATTTGGTCCTATGGGGGCTGCCTCTGGCCTGTTAATGGGGTCCTTTGGATGAAAAGTGGACGGGGTTTCTTGCGAAGTAAGTCAGGTTGAAGTGATGGCTGAGTTTTCGCCAGAAACCACAGTTAACCATGACCGAGTTAAAAACAAAACAAAGGGGGTGATGTCTTAGAAGTCTGTGGGGAATCAGGTTATGCTTAATGTGCACTAACATGGCTTGTTTTGTTTATTGTGAACCCAGAGTAATCCAGTGGTTAACCATACTTTATTTAGTAGCTTGTGTAAGTGGATGTTTTTAAAGGTGAACTTTATTTTGATGCCATTTTTTTCAATCTTACTCAAAATTGAAAAAAAAAAAGTCTCCCCATTTTGCTTTGTTTTTTTTTTTTATCCTGGCTTCTTTGCTACCTCTTTTATTTCTTGTTTTTGATCCTCTTCTAAGTTCACTGAACCCTTGTTAGTACAATTTTTTTCTCTTCTCGAGTCTGCTTTGGCACTCCCCTGACTTTCATTCAATGTGATTTTTTCTCTGATAATAATTTACTGGGACTTGATTTTCTGCCTGCTATTTAAATTCATGAGTTCAACAGACCGGTTGTCTTGTTTATATAATTAAAATATCTCTTTTATAAAGCTGGCTTTGTTTGTTTTTTAGTAGTTGCTTTGTATGGAAACATTTTACTCCCTCTCTTTGTAGAGAGTAAATAATAATATTTTGATGCAAATAAGCAAGAACTGTGCTTAGGTGGAGGGGTATGTGTGCATGAAACTTTTTTTAGCCCAGAGAGATAACATTCAGAAGGGGATCAGGCAGAGACCTCCCCCCAATTCACAGATGTATAAGGAGAAGGAGGTCAGCCCTATCAGACTTGGAAAGAATCTGTTATTATGTTGTTGTTAGTTGCGAAGTTGTGTCCAACCCATTGCAACCCCATGGACAACGTTCCTCCAGGCCTTCCTGTCCTCTACCAGCTTCTGGAGTCCATTTAAGCTCATGCCTACTGCTTCAGTGACTCCATCCAGCCACCTCATTCTCTGTCATCCCCTTCTTCTCTTGCCCTCCATCTTTCCCAGCATTAGGCTCTTCTCCAGTGAGTCCTTCCTTCTCATTAGGTGGCCAAAGTACTTGAGTTTCAACTTCAGGATCTGGCCTTCTAAAGAGCAGTCGGGGTTGATCTCTCTAGGACTGACCGGTTTGATCGCCTTGCAGTCCAGGGGACTCGCAGGAGTCTTCTCCAGCACCATAGTTCAAAGGCCTCAATTCTTTGCCGCTCAGCCTTTCTTATGTTCCAACTTTCACAGCCATACATTCAACTGGGAAAACCATGGCCTTGACTGTTATTATAACCTATCTCAATCAAAGTAGTTTTAGCCTTGTGTGCAGTTGATTTCTTGGTCTAGCCACCTATTGTGCTGATACCCATTCTGAGAATAAGGTTGTCCTCTAAAACCAGCAGGGGGAGAAACTAAAGGAAACATATTCCTATGGCTAATGACTAAGAGGTGGCATTTTGAGTGCCAAGGTGAAAGGATGGCATTGGCTTTGGTTTCTTAAAAGAGGGAGGCCTTAGTGGTCTCCAGTTATTATGGCTACAGAGTAAGCCCACCGTCTGGTTCTGATACCATTTGGTAGAGAACTTTGTGGACTTTGTAGAGATATATAATTGGTCATCTTTAGCCTGATCTGGCAAGATTGATTCTTAGGATAAATTTGTAAAGTGCCTTAAGTCAGAACCCAAGTTCATTCTGCGTGTTACGTAAATCCAAGTGATGATCTGGAGTAGATTCTACTCCAGTGATGGGGAACTTTTTAGAGACCGAGTGCCCAAACTGCAACCCAAAACCCACTTATGTATCGTCGGGTGCCGGGTGGGCGTGACCCATTGGGTGGGCATGGCTTCGGTGATAACGGCAGACTGGGTGGGACTAAAAAGTTCAGTCAATTCCAACTTTGCGAGATCTTTTTTTCCCCTGCAGGAAGTTGAAATTTACTGATTGATTGAATCTTTTTTTTTTTTTTTGCACACGGCAGCAGAGGCCTAAAGCGAAAAGGTTTTATAAAACCCAGCTGAGGCCTAGGACTGGGGCGACGGCACGCGTGCCCACAGAGAGGGCTCTATGCCATAGGTTCGCCACCACGGTTCTACTCCTACTCTACTCCACTCCACTCCACTCCACTCCACTCTACTCTCTACCAGAATTCTCCCCCCACTTTGGCTGACTAGGGAATTTCTGGCTCATGTATCTTGAAGTTGTCAAGTTTGAAAAACACTGATTTAGTGTCACCAGTAGCTCCAGCCATTATAGTTAATTCAGTAAAGTGTGGTTAAAATAAGCTATGGTGAGTACAAGAACAGAGCAGCATTATGCAGGCATTTATGACACATTGTTTTCGAAACATTCCTGGAGTAAGCAAAGCGAAAAGGGTATACAGTATGTGCAGTTTTGATGAAGTTTCTTTGGACGCCTTTTACCCCTTAAATCACTCAGATCCACTCTTGAGGACTCTGCTCCAAAAATGCCCATGGCACCTGTCATTAATCACTTAGGAGCCCCTCTTTGGGGAAGATGGGTGGTTTTAGAAATAGGAAATGTAAACTAAAGAAGTGCTCAAGGCCACAAAATCTTTCCCCTGCCTTGCTCAGACCGATGTGTGCAACACAAATTTCAAAACTACATCCTTTGATGTCTGCAGACAAGATTAATCTGGACACGAAGCATCTTGGACCTGACATGCAATTGCACTTTGGGCACCGATAAAAGAAAAACAACAGGTTTGATCGGTAGCACATCGCTACTGTTTATTTCAGAGCAACAAGGATTGGTTCAAATGGGAGCCATGGTGCCTGCTTTTCCTCTCCCCTTTCTCCCATCCTGGACCTCTGTTTTAAGGTCTTTAATCTACAGCAGCACACAAGGCCCACCCTTGAGTTGACACAGGAAGCTCTCCACCAGCTCAGGGGCTGCAGCAATGCTGCAGCTGAACCAGCATGGATGGCAAGGAAGCGATGTCGGAGTCTGCACAAGCGGAAGTCACAGGAGGAAAACGCAACACAGAGAAAGGGAAGTGCTTGGCGAGGGATCCCTACTTGCTTCCTTCGGAATCTGGTGTGTGATTTCTCACCTGCAAGGGAACAAAATACTCATACGGTAACTCTTGAGCTCGTCCAATGGCAGCTTCTCTGCTTTTAAAGAGATTGGAGGTCAAGCGGGACCGATTTAAGCCAACCGTGGCTTCCTTTGGCATCTGAACCAGGTCACCAAATCTAGAGCTGTAAGAGCCAATTTTGTAGTTCCTAAACTTTGGGTGATATGGAAAGAGACCCATTAGAAGTTGGAAGAGAAAACCTCTTCCGTTCTGAAGGCATCTTCAGAATTATTTGGATGAGCATCCCCCAAAGGGGGCAGTGTATACTTTTAAAAAGGGTGCATTTGTAAATGTGGCATAAGAAGCTACATAGGCTGAATCAGGTTAATGTTAATCCCAGTTTATGATGTGGCATCTCAAGAATCTTTGCTGGTTTTCCATTCAGATGTTGAGCAGTGAACCTTCTGCAGACAAGTTAAAAGAGCTACACCAGTGGTTCTCAACCTTTTTAATGCTGCGACCCCCAACTGGTCGTAAGTCGAGGACTACTCAACAGATGCAGCACCGATTGCAGAATGGGACTTTTGGCGGGCTCAGCAGGGCAGAGACAGCCTGGACAATTCCTATTGGCTTTTGAAAGCCAGTAGAATTAGACTCTATTCAAGAGAGTCTATTCTATTGGCTTTCAAAAGCCAATTCGTTTAACGACTGTGCTACTAATTTAACGACTGCAGTGGTTCACTTAACAACTCTGGCAAGAAAGGTCGTAAAACGGGGCAAAATTCACTTCACTGTCTTGCTTAGCAACGGAAATGTTGGGCTCCCTGGTAAGTTGTGTGTATTGTGTGTGTGTACGTCATATTTAGTAAGGACTCCATTTCAGCTTCTTTGTGTAGTTTCCCTTTCATGCCTTGCCCTTGAGAGCCTGTGTCGGTTCCAGAATCTTCTGAATGCTGCTGCCAAATTGTAATTGTTAATGTCACGGAAGGAGTCGGTGATTAGATGCAGAAGAAGCAACGTTAATTGTCTAATTAAGTTGAATTTAATTGCAATTAAATCAGGGACATTATTTTCTTGGTTCGGCTTCCCCTTTTGTGGCTTTGTCCTCGCCCTTTGGAAGCACATTCGCACACTTGTGGGGTCCTTAGCCTAAAAAAACTGAGATCCCCTGCCCTAATTACAGGGGCCCCGGTTCTCCTTCTTTCACTTCATCAACCTCTTGACAAATACCCCAAAGGTGCTTTTTCAAAAGGCAACTGGACTTCGTTTTGCCTTGAAGATATTTCGCTTCTCATCCAAGAAGCTTCTTCAGTTCATTCAGTTCTTCGATGAGAAGCAAAACCTCTTCAAGGAAAAGTCCAGTTGCCTTTTGAAAAAGCACCTTTGGGACACCCACGATGGTGGATGGATGACTGAGAATCTCCACAGACCCTCTTGACAAATAAATAACCCGAGCAGATTACACCCAGACATTAAATCAGCGACCAAATTGGTCTTTTCAGCTGGTGTTTTCCAGCTAAGCTACCTTCCAGAGTAGTGGTTCTCAACCTGTGGGTCAGGACCCCATTTGGGGTCGAACGACCATTTCACGGGGGTCGCCAAACAACGCAGTCCGCCATTTTTTTCCCCTTTTCCTTAGCTGTGCTACTCCCTTTTATTCTGTTGCCTTTTAGAATAGACTCTCTTGAACAGAGTCTAATTCTATTGGCTTTCAAAAGCCAATAGGAGTTGTCCAGGCTGTCTCTGCCCTGCTGAGCCTGCCAAAAGTCCCATTCTGCAAACGGTGCTGCACCAGTTGAGTAATCCTCGACTTACGACCGGTTGTGTAGTCCTCGACTTACGACCGGTTGGGGGGTCGCGGCATTAAAAAGGTCGAGAACCACTGTTCCAGAGCAAAGACCTCTAGAATGGTTTGGTCCACCTCTACCCTGAGTTTCTGCCCTTCCCTGCCTCCCCTCCTCCCTCCCCTCTCAGTGTTTCTGAGCCATCTGATAACAGGAGAAGGAGGAGAAACAGCAGCGTAAATATGCCATGGAGGCAAATGAGGATGGATGCTCTGAAGTGTGAAGGAAATGCAGTAAAATCCCATCTGGTGGAATAATGCTGCTCCGTTAGCACAAGTCTCACAGCCCCACTTACCGCCGCGGCTTCTTCGGTGTCCGTGCTCTCCTCTGCGCTATCAACATCCTGCTGAGGGCTGTGACCCTCTTGTTCGGCGCTGTCCTTCATCCGGATCGGTTCCGCTGCTGGATAGGAAGCATCCACGCTGGCAAAGAGTTTTCTCTTGCTGTCCTTGGTGCCTGCGCGATCAAGAGATGCTCGCTGTGGGGTTTCTCCTACTGGTTTAGCAACAAGGAGCAGGGAATTTTGGGGGTTCGCCCATCCTTGAGGCACATTTTAAATGCAGGCAGTCCTCGAATTACAAGCATTTGTTTAGTGACCGTTTGAAGTGACCACGGCCAGGAAAAAAAGTGATTTGTGACCGTTGCAGCGTCCTCCCATAATCACATGGTCGAAATTCAGATGCTTGGCAACCTGTTCGTATTTATGACGGTTGCAACATCCCGGGGTCACGTGAACCCCTTTGGCAACTTTCCGACAAAGTCAACGGGGAAGCGAGTTTCGCTTAGCAACCATGATGTGGCTAACTTAACGACTTGCAGCGATTGACTTAACAACCCTGGAAAAGGAGGCTATAAATTGGGGCAACATTCACTCAGCCACTGTCTCGCTTAGTAACAGAAATGTGGGGCTCGACTGTTGTTAAGTCGAGGATTGCCTGTACCTCGGGGCGAGGGTTTTGAATCAACAGGATTCTTGGGTCCTGGCAGGTCGTAACATGCTAGTGATAGTATGCTAGCCTAACAAAGAGATGGATTAGAACTGACATGATAGCTGTCTTCCAGTACTTGGGCTGTCACAGAGAGGAGGGTGTCAGCTTGTTCCCCAAAGCGCCAGAGAGCAGGACAAGAAGCAAGGGGGGGGAGGGGAAGGTTGTTAAAGAGAGAGCCAACCTAGAACTAAGAAAATTGCCTACAGTGAGAACAATGAGTGACGGAACAGCCAATCTCCCAGAGTTCTGGGTGTTCCATCACTGGAGGTTTTCAAGGAAAGATTGGACAACCACTTATCCAGGCTGGTATAAGGCAGGGGTAGGCAACCTTGGCTCAGGAGTTCTGGGAGTTGAAGTCCACGAGTCATAAAAGAGCCAAGGGGGTCTACCCTTAGTATAAGGCAGTGATGGCGAACCTTTTAGAGCAGTGGTTCTCAACTTTTCTAATGCCGCGACCCCATAATACAGTTCCCCATATTGTGGTGACCCCCAACCACTTATACATCACGGGTGCCAGGGACGTGGCCAAAAAAAAGGAGAAAAAATGGCGGATAGCCTTGTTTGGCGACCCCCGTGAAATGGTCGTTCGACCCCAAATGGGGTCCCGACCCACAGGTTGAGAACCACTGTTTTAGAGACTGAGTGCCCAAAAAATTGGCTCCGCCCCACTCCATCCCCTGCCTCGCCCCTGGCCCGCCTGCCCGCAGGGCACTCACCATGCCCAGGGCCCACTGCAGATCGCCAGCAGTCCCATGGCAGCCACGCCCTCTGCCCGCGCCCCACAGCATCAACTGTGCACGATGGGGTGTGAGGGCAGAGTCTTGTCTACGCTGCCTGGCGGCCATGTCCTTGGCTGCACTGCTCCATATGGGCCATGCTCGGGGGCGACTCTTCTCCAGGAGGTCTGCTGGTGAGGAGGGGGCCACGGGGGGGAAGCAAGGCTGGGGCAAACGGCACATGTGCCCACAGAGAGGGCTCCGAGTGCTGCCTCTGGCACCCGTGCCATAGGTTCGCCCCCACTGGTATAAGGTCTCCTGCCCTTAGGCAAGGGGTTGGGCTATTGGGAGGGTCTCCAAGATCCCTTCTAGCCCTTTGATTCTATAAGACTCTTCTCTCCCTCACCTGTGGGATGTTCCCGCTGCTGATCCATCCGATTGAGGCTTTCCAGCAAGTTGTCCACCTGGGCTTTGATCTGGCTTAATTCCCCTTTGATGGAGTGCAGTTCTTCCGCTCGCACTGCGGGGAGGAGGAGGGGAAGAGACAGAAGAATGAGCTACGTTCCTTTTAAAGACCCTCTGCAGAAACCGAACTGGGGAACATAGGCTGGGGGGGTGGGAGGAGTTCGTTTTTTAGGTTTTATGGCCAGCAGCCGTTTGCATCCGTGCTAATGAACAGGATCATTTCCCAGCTTTGCAAACCACAGAAATCTGAAAACAGCTGCTGCCGAAGGCACAGCAATAAAGATCAGGAGAATTGTTTCCCTGTGCATATCTGCAAGCACAACCACACACAAATTGGCGCAGGCTGAATGTTGTTTTTTTAAACTCAGAAATCCTACCCTTCCAAAGAAGCCAGTCTGTGTAGGAACAGCCTGGAGATTATCTCTGAACTTTCTAGCCTTTGATTGAATTGGCTGGCTAGTTCAGATCGATATGAAATGCTGCTTTAGTTTCTAAATTTCCACCACCATTCCTCCAGGTTAAATTACATTTCCTCTTCTGTCTTTTCCCTTAAGGAACCAGAATTCTGTTTTCTCTTTCTTCGTTGCTCCTGCCTTCTTTGAAGACCACCTTCTGTCTTCTACTTGCCCCCCAAAGCTAATCCTTTCCCTTAATTTCCCTTTTTCTCTAGAGAAGATGAACATCAAGCAGGTCACCAGTCCCCGCTGAGCATCCTAAATATTTGAGGGTGTTCTGCGCTCCCACTGCAGCTCAGCCAACTGACTGCTTGACAGCCAGTATGATGCACAAAGGGATAGTTAACCTTGATTAGACAAAGATGTTCAGGTCTTTGCATCTGATGGAATGAGCTATAGCTCAGAGAAGCTTTTTGCTTTTTAATAAAATGGATTAGTTGGAAAAGATGCAACCAGAGTCCCGATTTTTGCAGAGTCCTTGACAACTCAAAGATGTGTGAACTTCAACTCTCAGAATTCCTGGCTGGAGAATTCTGGGAGTTGGTCCCCAGATCTTCAAGTTGCCACGATTAAGAAACACTGCCCTAAACTAACATGGCTTTTGGACTACAAGATGGCTCAGTGCACCATTTTGCTACCAAAATCTCTCTCCAAAAGCTGAGTCCCCAGACACTCACATTTTGTACGTCCTATTGTGGAATTGCTGTTGTTTCTTAAGTCTGTGTGTGGGCTCAGGCTGGTTTTACTTTCAGTGCCTAGGTGGCTTCTTCTAGTCTTGATAGGAATGTGTCCAATAAGAGGAGGGATCTTCTGATATTCGTAGATCCTACAGGAAAGGTAGGCAGCGGAAGTTCATTTACAACAGGTCTCTTTAAAGCAGAGGTCTTCAAACTTGGCCCTTTTATGACTTGTGGACCTCAACTCCCAGAATTCCTCAGCCAACCCTGTCCACAAGTCATAAAAGGGCCAAGTTTGAAGACCCCTGCTTTAAAGACTTGATTCAAGTCTAAGTAATGTAGATGTTTGGGGAGAAATAATACGAAGGAAGTTGGCACCTCTATGGTTGAATCCCAAAGTAAAGAGATGAGAGTAAAGCCCTAAACTCACCTGTATGGCAAATCGTCTTTATAAAGCTCATAATCCAGATCACAGTTCCTGCAAAGAAAAAGAAAGACTTACAAATGTTTGCATATTTTCCAGAGTGGATAACCCACCATCTCCTCAGCAGATTTGAACCGGCATCTCCTTAATCTTAGTCCTATTCTTCATCGTTTTTTTTTAGTCAGGATAATTATCACACACACACACACCCAAATTGAAGAAGGTCTATATTAAAAACCACTGCAAAACCATTCACCTACATGCATGTTTGAATAAAGGAAGACTGGAATGCAATAAAAAAAAATCTGCTTTTTTAATCAACAAACACTGCAAAATGCCAGACCTGATAAGCTTTTAGTGTGTGGTTCCACTTTGGAATTTAGGCTGTTTATCTTCCTTCGATTTTAAGGTGGGGGGAAATGTGTAAAACATCTTTAAGGGGGGAAAAAACATGATTTATTTCTTTAAAACCGAATTGAATAGCCCCCTCCCAATACTTTGCTGTTCTCCAGGACTGTTGATGTTAAGTTTCACAGTGAGTAATTTTGCAGGAAAACACAAGGCTGTCAACTCATATTCTTTCCTAAAGGAAATGAATATGCCTGTAATAAATTCTATACTTTGGTTCAGAAGATCCGATCAGGGATCAGAATAATCAGATTTTCGGAGAAGCTTCATGTGAAAAGCTTTTGAAATGGGGAGAGTCTAGGAGGCCCTCGACTTACGACCACAACTGAGCCCAAAATTTCTGTTGCTAAACAACACAGTTGTTAAGTGAGTTTGATCCCATTTTAGGATCTTTCTGGTCACAGTCATTAAATGAACCACTGCAATTGTTAAGTTAGTAACATAGTTATTAAGTGAATCTGGCTTCCCCCTTGACTTTGCTTATCGGAAGGTCACAAAAGGGATCACGTGACCCCGGGACACTGCAACCATCATAAATGTGAGTCGGTTGTCAAGCATCTGAATGTAAATCACATGACGATAGGGATGCTGCAACGGTTAATAATAATAATAATAATAATAATAATAATAATAATAACAACAATAATAACAACAACAAGGCAAACTTGCAAGACCTGTTTGTGTCTTGCTTGGAAATGGAATTTTAAACAGGTGGAGTTTTTTCCCCCTGCATGGCTGACCACATCTGCCAACATTCCTCCTGTACACAACTATTAAAAGGTCCATGAGCTCCCTCCACAGTTATGACATGGTTTCTGGGGCAATATATTAGACCGTGTTCTTTCCACGACTAAACTAGAATGTTCCGTTTCATGAGTGCCAGATACTTGTAGCACAGCTTCTACGCAACAGATTTCACAAATATCTGCTTGTGTGAACTAGGAAGGTGCTCAGAAGAACATGGGAAAGCATTTGAGCAAGGCGCCCCTGTTGACTTTTCCACGCAGGCGGTCTTCAACTTACAACAGTGGGGACTGGAACTTCGGTTGCTGAGTGAGTAACGTCCACTTACGCAAACAATTTTTGCCACGGTCGTTAAGTTCATCCCCACAGCTGTTAAAGAAAGCATCAGGTCATTAAGCAAATCCAACTTCCTACACTGACTTTGGTTACCGGAAGATGGTTGGGACGGTTGCAAATGGTGATTCCTACATCCATGCCAGTTGCCAGAGGTCTGAATTTTGATCCTGTAAGCGCAGGGACTGTGACAGTTGTAGTCACTCTTTTTCAGCACCATTGTCACTCGAATAGTCGCAAAAGGAATGGCTGTAAATCAAGAACCACCTGTATTCTGGTTAGGGCAGGGGTAGGCAACCTTGGCTCTTTTATGACTCGTGGACTTCAACTCCCAGAATTCCTGCTGTTCCACTGGTTAATTGTCCTCACTGTCAGGAACTTCCTCCTTAATTCCAGGTTGTTTCTCTCTTGGGTCAATTTCCAACAAATGAACTGTTGTGAGTCAGGGACTACCTGAATTTTGCAGAATAAGTGAATTTTATTTCTTCTTGGAAGCCTCTCCTACTTTCAGGTCGATCTTCAGATTTCATGGTTTGAATATCCTAAGGAGAAGTTTGGGTGTGCTTGTGCTGCCTGCAGCATTCCGTGTGAAACATCCTTGCTGATGTTGGCTTATTTATCCTCTAAAATGGGGTCACATTGGCTGACCAGATTGATTTTCCTCCCTTCCTTTATCTTTCTTTGCTCTTCCTCTGGCTTGGCCACTCCAGACTGACCTTTGTGTTAGGATGATAATAATAATAATAATAATAATAATAATAATAATAATAATAAAAAAGTTGGAAGGGACCTTGGAGGTCATCAAGTCCAATCCCCTGCTCAGGCAGGAAATCCTATACCATTTCGGACAAATGGCTGTCCAGTTTCTTCTTAAAAACTTCCAGTGTTGGAGCATTCACCGCTTCTGGAGGCAGGTTGTTCCACTGGTTAATTGTTCTAACTGTCAGGAAGTTTCTCCTTAATTCTAGGTTGCTCCTCTCCTTGATTAGTTTCCATCTGTTGCTTCTTGTCCTGCCTTCAGGCGCCTTGGAAAATAGCTTGACTCCCTCTTTGGGGCAGCCCCTGAGATATTGGAAGGCTGCTATCATGTCCCCCCTTGTCCTTCTCTTCGTTAAATTAGACATACCCAATTCCAGCAACCGTTCCTTATATGTTTTAGCCTCCAGTCCCCTCATCATCTTTGTTGCTCTTCTCTGTACTCTTTCTAGAGTCTCAACATCTTTGTTACATGGTGACCAAAACTGGATGCAGTATTCCAAGTGTGGCCTTACCAAGGCATTGTAAAGTGGTATTAATACTTCACATGATCTTGATTCTATCCCCCTGTTAATGCAGCCTAGCACTGTGTTGGCCTTTTTGGCAGCTGCAGCATACTGCTGGCTCACATTTAAGTGATTGTCCACTAGGACTCCGAGGGCCCTCTCACAGTTGCTACTATTGAGCAAGGAACCCCCTATACTATACCTGTACATTTGGTTTTTCTTGCCTAAGTGTAGATGAAGTTGCACTTCAGATGAATGTGAAATGCTTCTAAGCCCCTTCAAAATTCAAGAGGAAAAGAAACTAGCTTGTGTTCCCTTTCACATCATGAGCTGGCAGACTCAGCTGCTAGCCACAACTATGGAATTATGTTTCCAATTTTCCAAAGGTAGGAAATTTCTCCCTTTGGCTTTCTCTTCCTAGTAGAAGCAGGAGAGAAAATTGTCTTTCAGTTTCTGAGAAGTAACCCTATCATGAATATGCGTGTTTCAGTTTTGATATGCCATGTTTTTCCTGCTCTTTTGCTTGTTTTCTACATGGCCTGGAGAGCAACGGCGATTGAAGAGCACTTTAGACATCGTATTTGAACAGAAAAACCATCGTGATTATGCAAAGCAACCCTCTTTTGCAAACAGTGGCTTTTAGAGACATTTACTGGGGCACTGTAGTAGAAACGGAGAGGAATCACGCTGAGCATGTGGAACTAATATTCTACTTCAGGATGTATTATTGTCAGTGCTATACACCGTGATTGCACCAGGGAATGGATGCAGAATGTGAACATTGCTATAACCATAATGTATTAAATGTCCATGCTACCTAGACTCTCGTTAATGTGGGTGCTGGCTACACAATTCAGCGGAACGATACAAAAATAGATTTCTACCCTGGAAATTGAAAGTGGAAGTGGAAAGTGCCTGGTGAAAGCACAAAAGCTTTATTTGCAACTCTTCTACTAATAGGCAGCAACTTCCCAATAACTCAGAGAGGCACTAAAACAGGCCAACCTGCGTCTCTTTGCTCTTGCAATATAGTCCTCGGTTTACAGCAGTTCGCTTAGTGACCGTTCAAAGTTACAACAGCACTGAAAACAGTGACTTGTGGCCGTTTTTCACACTTAATGACCATTGCAGCATCCCCAGGGTCACGTGATCAAAATTCATTGCAACTGACTCGTATTTACGACGGTGGCAGCGTCCCGGGGTCACGCGATCCCCTTTTGCGATCTTCTGACAAGCAGATCAATGGGGAAGTCAGATTCACTTAACAGCCGGGTTACTAACTTAACAAGTGCGGCGATTCACTTAACAACTGTGTTAAGATAGGTCGTGAAAATGGGGCAAAACTCATTTAGCAACTCTCTTGTTTGGCAACAAAAAACGTTGGGCTCAGTTGTGGCCGTAGGTTGAGAACTACCTGTAATAGGCACCACTTCCTAATCACTCCCAGAGGTATTAAAGCGGGCCAACCTGCCCCCCTTTGCTCCTGGAATATTCACATCCAGAGTATAGAGACTGGGTGAGTTCCCTAATTTGTTTTTCAGGCAAACCTCACTCACAGCCTCCCTTGGGAACGAGGTGCTTTTCCACAGCTCCGCTTTCCAGGGCCATTCCTGGGAGAACAGCTGCAAAGAGGAAGAGAAGCCAGCCCACAGGCATTTGGAGCGAAAGGGGTTGATCAACAGGAATTGGGAAGAGGCCGTCTGCTGGGGCAGGCTTTAATTTGGAGATGCTGGTGCCATAATAAATGATGACATGAGAGCAGGCTTCTAACAGAGTGGTACCTTGGTACTCACCATTAATTGGTCCCGGGAGGCGCGATGAACACCAAACACAATTTTCCCCTAAGGAATAATGTAGTGAGTCACGTGGTAGCTGACACTGACAAGTTCTAGCTGGTGCATTGAGTACCAAACAAATGAGCACCGGGACAACATTTTCACGTCAAAAGGCTTTCAATGAGTTTCAAAGCGGCTGAGATCCAAGGTACTACTGTATTTGAGAGGGTGTCAGAAAGAAGACGGGGTCAAGCTATTCCTCAAAGCACCTGAGGGCAGGACAAGAAGTAGCAGGTGGAAACCTATCAAGGAGAGAAGCAACCTAGAACGAAGGAGAAATGTTCTTACGGCGAGAACAATTAATCAGCCGAACGACTTACCTCCAGAAGTTGTGAGTGCTCCATCACTGGAGGTTCTCAAGAAGAGATTGGACAGCTATTTGGAATGGTATGGGGTCTCCTGCTTGTGTAGAATGGAATGGTATGGGGTCTCCTGCTTCTGTAGGGAGTTGGACTAGGACAGGGGTAGGCAA